GCTTAAATCTTACGAGTTTCATCATAACAGTGTTGACGTGGTTTTATAATCCACCGTAAAAGGAGCATTCCCTCTTTGTTTTAGAAAAGGAGCGAAAGTGAACTCAAGCTCCACCATAAAAGGAGCATTCCCACGTGCACAAGCGTGTGGATCGTTTGTCGACATGAATCATTTGGTCTTACAGATGATCAACCCCACCTCTTATCCCTTTTCAATATTCTATGTTGTCCTATACAAAAGGCAAACAGGGCAGACTTTACAGGGGAATTTGGATTCATTTAAATTAATCCCACACTTCACCAATCACCAAACCACATTCTCTTAATCTATATATTATTTGGTTAAGAAGTCTAAAGAGGACCTCTATTGTAATACTTTGGTTTAATCAGCTTAAATGTAGTAGAATGGAAGATAATATTTAATTAAGTAATATATTTAATGTATTTTCCTTGATCGAGGGGCTAGAATCTATTCCTCAACCCAACTTTGTAAAGGCACAGTTCCACTGAGATATCTTAAATCCCTTGGCCCCTTATTTGAGAGGAGAGTGACTCCTTGTGGACCAATATTCCTGAATACTTTTATTCGTTGCAGAAGTGTGAGTGGGGTTTGTAAGACTATGATAAATAAAATAATAACAAAAGGGTTTGCTGCGGAAGTGGGAAGCATCATTGCTAGAACCCTAAAAAAGAGAACTAGGGGGCCTGCCCCAACCTTGGTGCTCCAACAAACTCTAATATGTCAAATTTTGAGGTTACTGTTGTTATTACTTTGTTGTTGTTCTGCTGCAATAAACCACATGAGTCATGTCGTTTCTGGCTGAAAATATTAGAACACTTTGGCCTAATTTGTTGGCATGCAATTTCTTTTGCACTGGTGTAAAAGCACGAGAGTGCAAATGTGTTGAATGCAAATTCTTCTTGTTTTGTTTGTTTACAGTGCAAATGAAGTAAAATGAAACCTAAAGTAAAGTAAATTTCAATGCTCCATTGTAAACAAATGGAGCCTTACGGTAAGTATGATTTTATTTTATTTTATTTTTTCAAAACAAAAAACAGCTGCCGCATGAACAAGAAAAATATGATTTTGCTGGGGTAGCGTTAAAAAATGTGCATATCATCGAACAATTTCTTAACATTTTATGAGAAATTTCATTTGTAAGAAAAGAAACATTTAAATGATCCATTATTTATGGATTAATTAATATTTTATCTAAAATTCATTACTACTATTATTATATTTGCCTTGAATTTCAATCAGTTGATATGTTTAGTTTATTTCTGACTAACCAATTTCATATTTTTAAGGGGATTCTCTTGTGATACAATACATCTGAAAATAAATAAAGAAATAATTATAAAATGATAAGGATGTATTTTGTTTTTCTTGTTCCACTTACAAACGCATTTCACACCACACATCTAAAACATTGTATGAAATTCCCACCTGATGGACATATATACTGCATTTAGCATGCTGGAATTAATTTTGATGAATTTTGTGATTTTAAGAAACAGTTTTAATTTTGATTTTATGAAAATTGTCAGAACTATTGTTTCTCTAAACTCATAATTTAATCTGAGAATAAAAAAATTAGCTTCAAAAAACAATCATTTTCATTTGGGAACTCCCTCCTCAAATAGTGATTCTTTGGAGCAGAATTATAACGAAACATAGCCATAATGGATCCACTCAGAAATTATATTCCGAATGTATAATGCATGGAGCACATGTAAGGAGCATAAGAAAAAGAAGCTTATATCATTCTAGGAAACTTACCCATATGAGTTTGACAAAGATGGTCCAAGAAAAGGGATATATAATAACCACACAAGGGGAAGCCAAATTGATCATGGCATATTCTCTTCTACTATCACATTATGGCCCCAATCGAACGGCATTGGATTCCACCACAACCATAAGGCTATCGTATCTTTAGCCTAAAATTTAATCAAAATTGCATGGTTCCTATCAAAGCAAGATTAACATTTGAATTTCTTTTTCTTTTAAGCTGTGTTTGGAAACGATGCAAATATGTAGAGTGTAAAACGGTTTATATAAATTGTAAAGTTGAGTTAATTTTACATTGATAAATTTACCTTCTTATCAAACATACTTTTACAAAAAAAAAATCATATGATTTTCTTCAATAATTTGTTAATAGTGGAACAACCACCACTCCATTAATAGTTTAATCATTTTAATTTTATTTTTTTAGTTGATGTCAAATTACAAAGTAATATTGTTATTGGAAAGATTATGAAGGAGGCAATTTTAAAGCATGTACCATGACTAGAAAATTCTAAAATATGATCATGAGAATTATTAAAATATACATGGATATTGATATGGAAGGTCGCTTAAATCTTATATATAAATGTATTAATAACACTAATATTATAGCTCAATCGAGCTGTAATTAAAGTATAAGTGCATAAGAAGCACATTTTAATGGTGTCAATTGAAATAAGGGTTTGACTATGATGTCGGAATGACATGATACTGAAAAAACTTATAACCCATTTAACCGATATCATAAAAAGTGGTAACCAATCGGTGGGTTTTCATCAAAATTCATGGCGGGTTTTGATTGGTCAAAGCCTTTCCAGTATCATGTCTTTTTGGCATCATATTTCTATTTTTTTGTGCAATAATAAATTTCAATGGACACACCAACAATCATAATTTATATCTATTTGTAAATAACATATAAATTCATTATAATTAATAAATTTTATAATCTACGTAAAAATGTATGAACCCTTATAAATTTATATAAAATCCAAACCCACTAATGACATCAAATTAATATGCAAGATATTTAATTTTAGGGCAAATTTCTTAAACTACCCCCAAGGTTTAGGAAATTGACTTACTATACTCTTACTGTTTTAGTATTGCCTTAAAGTACCCCTACTATTTTTGACAATTGACTAAATCTTCCTTACTGTCAATGTCCATTAATGGAAGGAGTAAAAAGACTATTTTGCCCATCATTATTCTTTAAAATTTCAAAATCCTTATTCAAAATGAGAGACGATTCCAAGTAGGAGCATGCTGTCAACCTCCTCGAAGTGACAAAGGTCGAGGAGGGATCTATTTCTTTCTCTATTTTTTTTCTTTTTTATTCCAGGTTGCCTCCTACATTGAAAGCTGCTAGGAAGAGTTATCGGAGGAGAGGGACAATTCCAAGTAGGAGCATGTTGTTGACCTCCTTGAAGCGGTAGAGGTAGAGGAGGTGATAAACCTCGACCTGGGTGACGAAGCCAATGACATTGATGATGATGATGATGAGCTTTAGAATGCCTCTCTTTCACCCCTAAACTACATGCACATTATACGATGACGATGACTAACTCTATGAGCGAACAAACCCATCAGAATTTTTTCACTTACCCTTCACTTGATTGCAGCTCTCAATCAGGTGCATTCTCAGATCTGCGACAATTGCAGCTGTGAACCTAAGAGATAGTTTAAGAAATTTATCCTTAATTTTACACATTTTTATAAATATTAATATATATGCATTATATTTCAATTAAGTAAAAAATAAAACCAATTTAATGTAAAATTATATTTAGATCCGTATCAGTCAATACTGATCCCTTAATAATCCGTATTGACCTTTATCGACGTTATACAAAGGGAAAAAAGTTTTTGACATATTAGGATTCAGTGAGTGTAGTACCGTACCGCTCAGCCAAAAGCACACCCATCGTCTCATACACGTGGCACCATATCGACGCTCTGAACCTTGGATTTGGATTTGGATTTGGCAATACAAGGACAGAAAACCACATACCTTAATCTTCTATCAACCTTTGAATAACACATATCACGCCATTATGATTCCATAACTATATTGAAAATTACCCGTCCAGACGCCCACCAATTCTCGTTGACGAAGCTTCAACAAACAAAAAGATGAACCGCTCGTCAACAGATGGACGGTGGAGATTGAGTATGCCAGCTCTCCACGTGGTTGAACCCCATCTGTTCACCGTGAACCAGCTGCCCTTCCAATTAACAAATAATTTTTTTATTCAGTCAGTAATTATAAATCTATAGATTTATTAATAGTAAAAAAAAAAAACGAAAAACGACAAGCAAAAGCGGGAGGCCTAAACCTCGAAACACACACGCACGCACACGCGAATCCATCCATCGCAGGCCTCATGACGCACACACACGAATACACACAGGCTTAGTGTGTGGGCCGCCACACAATAAGTGCGCAATCCGCGAGTACTCGTAGAAAAGAAGCGACATCATACCACAGAACAAGAAATAGCAATTTTGCACTGTGGAACGAGCAAGAATGTACTTGGTACTTACCATGTAGCTGTGTATATGAGATCAGAATTTATCAAGATCATTGATTTGGTACATCACCCAACTCGACCAGTGTTGAAGATAAAATCCATTACTGGAAGTCTAAGATGATCTCATCATCATGATCGATAGCTGTCCACCACTTTATTCTGTGGTGTCGTCCACAGCACCATATAATATAACTTCTCCATCACAGGAATTTCTGAAATAATAAACTCAAATTTTCACAGTAGACTGTAGAGTAGAAGATAGAAAATGGGGTGGGTTTGCTTTCCTTTGATAATTCCCAGCTAAATGGTTACCACATTAGCTGACACAAGGAACATCTAGGGAGTAGGGAAGTGAAAAAGAGAGAAACCAAAGCAAACAGCTTTGAAAACCCAGAATCAAGTGTGTAATTCTTCTATGTCGTCAGGACCAAAGCAAGGAATAACAGAAATCAGTAACTTCAGTCTTTGTATAGGAGACTGGAAACACCCTTAACTCGATCCACCCTACACTTGCACTCTCTTTTAAGTTTTATCCAACCAAGATAAGAAAAGAAAAGAAAAGAAAAGAAAAGAAAAGAAAAGAAAATGGGGAATTTTCTTAAAAATTGGGTCATTTTATTATCTAAACTCTCAAGCCATTATTTATTTTTTGCTTGCCCACATGGGAAAACCTCTTAAAAACCCCACCTATTTGGGTCTTTTTTAATCAGCTCGTGCCTGAAGGTTCTTTGTGTCAGAACACCAAACCTAAGGTATTTGAAGCTCTGAGACTGAGAGAGACCACTGGGCGAGAGTGAGTGATTTGGAGTTTTTAAAATCTTTGGAAATGGTGAGAGAGTGAACTGGATTTCTGTGATGGTTATTCTGTTTTGGATGGTTTGGTGGGAGTCGTGTTTCCATGGACGCAACTTGGAATATATGGCGTTTTGTTGATCGCAGAAGAAGACAATACCGATGTATACAAATGCTAACGCATGTAGCGGAAGAAACAAGACAGAAAAATTCCTCTAACATGGCTTCTAGCTGTTGCAAGATCTCTCCAATCATTCCCGTTTTTGTTGGTTTTCTTCTTGTTGCTTCCTGGGTTGGTCCCGTAGTCTCCTTGTCGACTTCATCAGAAACCGAGGGGCGGCTCCGGGCAAATCAAACTTTCCGACCGGGGGAAGAGTTGCAGAAGTGGAAGAGGATTAACGCTCTTCTCAGCAAAGTCAACAAGCCTGCTGCCAAGACAATTCAGGTATTTATTTCCACGAGAGGAGATTTCTTTGTTCCTGATGGAACTTTTCTTAAAATTTTCCTTCTTTGTTTCGTTTGAAGATTTTGTTTCTCCGTTGGTTCTAATTTGGGTTTATTAATGAGTTGGGTTCTTGTTTACTGTTGCAGAGCCCTGATGGTGATCTGATAGATTGTGTTCTATCACATCAACAACCAGCCTTCGATCATCCGCAGCTTAAGGGACAGAAACCATTGGTAGTTGAACTCTACTAGCTAGCAGCGCTAATTTGTTTTCTCTTCCTTCCTATTTTGTTGATTTCCTTAATGCGTTTTTAAAGCCTTGGATTTGAGAGCTGTATGAGTGGATTTTAGGAGACAAGAAGTTGTAAAATTTTCCTTCTTTTTGCAGGATCCGCCTGAGAGACCAAAAGGCCATAATCCAACAGGTTCTGTGCCTGAAATCTTCCAGTCGTGGACAATTTCTGGCGATTCATGTCCAGAAGGAACCGTTCCGATCAGAAGAACCAGAGAAGAGGACGTCTTAAGAGCCAGTTCTATTAGGAGATTCGGAAGAAAAGTGAGGAGACCAGTGAGACGCGACTCTTCGAGCACTGGCCACGAGGTTAGTTATAAAAACAGAAACCAGAGCAACACCCAGAAATTGTTGGCAAAAAACTGTAGTAGTAGTAGTAGTAGGAAGATCACTGTAGTTTGTTTTCTGAAAAGACTTTATGAAATGCCAACCGGAGAAAATGATCGATCCAGAGAACAAAACAATGGCGTTTTCTATGTTAAAAAGGAAATGACGTTTTCTGCTCTTTTGTGATTTTCACTCTTCGCGTGTTGTCTGCAAAAACCTCTCAACAATTCCAACGGTTCTCTATCTTGTTCCTGGGTTCACAATAGCAATTTGGTTCAGATGAACTTAGAACAACACGGAGAAGAAAAAAAAAAAACTAATTCCCTTCAAATCTCACCTGTCAAAATCTCAACCTCTCCCGCCTACCCGGCAACCAAACACGGAGGCTAAGTTTCATTAAATTTATCATAATTTGCTGAAAGAGGTAGAAACCAAAACCAGCATTGTACGAAATTAATTAAGATGAATAGAAGTCTCCTATCTTTACTTTGAGCACAAAATAGCAAGTTTTGGTAGATGGGTGTTCTTTACTTTCATTTATGAGGCATTAATTTCATACTCTTTTCAAGTAATCGCAAACTTTCATGGCTTTTCTCTGAAGTAAATTGTTGTGTCGCTCCATCAATTACTCCACCAGTAGCTTCGAAAATTTTCTTCCCAATATTTAATTCTCTAAAGTTTGACATTTGAAGCCAAATACAGTGGTAAACCATTCGTGGATGGAATTCTGGTACATTTGATTCTATACTGTTGCATATTCTTCATTTAATCCCTGCATGCTCAATAGTCAATAACCAAATTCAGAATAAACTTTCATCAGTAGCGCTGCAATTAATTTATGTACTGAGTTGATTTATTGTTTTATTTATGGATTGCAACAGCATGCAGTTGGGTTTGTAATGGGAGATCAGTACTATGGAGCAAAAGCCAGCTTAAACGTATGGGCACCCCACGTAGCTAATCAATACGAATTCAGTTTGTCACAAATGTGGGTCATATCTGGTTCATTTGGGGACGATCTCAACACTATTGAAGCTGGCTGGCAGGCAAGTAAATAACTTCGACGCAACTGTTTTTTTTCTTCTATAAATATAAACGAAGAGAGAAAAAAAAGCAGACATTCAATTAAATTTTTAGTCAAATTGCTAAAACCCGTAAGCTTGTTCTCATTTAAAAGCAGTTATTACAGCTCAACTACCATTCCGTCGTAATCAAACCCAGAATTCTTATTATAGGTCATGATGTCTTTTTATTTATTTTTCCTTCAGGTGAGCCCAGAGCTGTATGGGGACAACTATCCTAGGTTCTTTACCTATTGGACAGTGAGTGTTAAATTTAGCTTATTTCCCTCTTTTCCTTGTTTCCCATGAAAGTTAAAAGTAAAAACTAGAGATAATTTAAGTATTTAACCAAATGCTGATTTACAGACCGATGCATACCAAGCCACCGGATGCTACAATTTGCTTTGCTCCGGCTTTGTCCAGACAAACAACAAAATCGCAATCGGAGCGGCAATCTCTCCGATATCGTCATACAAGGGCGGCCAATTTGACATCAGTTTATTGGTTTGGAAGGTAAATTTGATCTCAGTATTAAGAAAGTTTTTCATTGATTCGTTTTCTTTTAACCGTTAGTTTGGTAAAGCTGGTAAATTTGCTCCCATGCATCTTTTGACTACAAAAATGGAACGATGGACTCTTACATGTCGAAGTATAACCGGGAGAAGATTTGGTACTCCCGCTAACAGCATATTCTTATGTGATATGACCCAATTGCATTCACATATGGCCCTTGGATGGTCCAATCAGTGGACCCCATTATAGGAGTGTTTTACTAGGTAGCCTATACTACCGCCTTTCTATTTCCAGTTGTCCAAAGAGAATATAATTCTTCTCTGGTTCATCGTCCATCCAGAATATCTCATTATAGACCCGGAATTGACTAGCATACGATCCTTTAGGCTTTTAATGGCGAGAGGCCCGCAGTGGTATTAAATTATTTTTCCGGTATGGGCCTACCCCCATCACCCCTCGCGGTGTATTTATCTAAAATGCACCGGAGTGCACAAAATGCCCGCGTGGGGGTTTGTCATTTCAGCGAATTAGTAAATTACCGAGATGCCCCTTTGCCATCTTTTCTCTTTGCAAGATTCTTCTCTTTTACACACAAAAGGGTTCCCTGACGCTTCGACTTTTTCTTTTTCTCTTTTTCTGCCCTTGTTTTTAATACTTATTTTTTTTTATAATTTCCCAATTCCCAGCTGGTACTCCGTCGACAAACTCGATTTTGACCGGCTTTTTATTTCTTTTTTCTGTTTTCTTTGCCCAAAAAAATTAATATCCAAAGTCCAAACACTTCTTGATGATACAAAAAAAAAAAAAAATGTAGGAGAAAAAAATAAGAAAAAGATGTATAATCACTGAATTGATCGTAAAATGTGATTATTTGATAGGATCCGAAGCACGGAAATTGGTGGCTGGAATTTGGATCGGGATTACTGGTTGGATATTGGCCTTCATTCTTGTTCAGTCATTTAAGGAATCATGCAAGCATGGTTCAGTTCGGAGGAGAAGTTGTTAATAGTAGACCAGGAGGCGTCCACACGGCGACCCAAATGGGCAGCGGTCACTTCGCCGGAGAAGGATTCGGGAAAGCTTCTTATTTCCGAAATTTGCAGGTGGTCGATTGGGATAATAGCTTAATTCCTCTATCCAATCTTCGAGTGTTGGCCGATCATCCGAATTGTTATGATATCCAGGGAGGGAGTAATGGTGTTTGGGGAAATTATTTTTATTATGGAGGTCCCGGGAGGAACGTAAGATGTCCCTAAATGAAAAATGGTATAGGAGTAGAGAGTTCTTTAATTCTCTCTCCCTTTCTCTCTTCTTTTTTTTTTCCTTTTATCTTCATTTTTATTTTATTGAGTTTATTCAGGTTTTCTCTCCAGATCTTTAATCGGTTTTGGGTTATTTTTAGTTTTGATTTCTTTTTTCTGTTAATCCATTATTTTTCTTTTCTAACAGGTGATCCATTAATTATACCAGCTTTAGGGACTTATGTAAATGTGAAAAAGAGAAGATATAGTAAATATACTATGGTTGTGATTTTTTTTTCTTTCTTTCTCTTCCCTCTCCCAAGTCTAATCATCATTCTGTGTCTTTTGAACATTCTACTTCTGGTAATTAATGTGAGTTATCAAAAGACTCCCAATCCCAGAAAAGAACTGATGAAAGTAGAGTTGCAGAATACAGTTGAGCATTTGAAATTTTGAATAAGATGGGATGTGGTCATCAAATAAAGGGACCACTGAATCAGTCAAAACACACTCAACCAACTATCTTACTGGAAGCATTAATTCCACACAAATTGATGTTTCTTAGATAACTCATATGAGATACAAGTCCACGGTTTGTTCTTTGTTCATTTTTTTAAATCAATTAATACAAAGTTCATTCACTTGGGTAAAACCGTAAAAGAGTTTAATTAGTCTAAAGACCATAGTCTCATATAAAAACAAAAGCAAATACATTTCTTATTGGCAATATTGATGCAATTCATCCGTTGCAGATGGGAAGCATGTGGGGACATATTAAAAATTGAAACCCCACCAACCAAGAAGCAACCATGAATAACTAATGAACCTTCCTATGATAAAATATCCTAAGCACAACACCATATCCCATGTATTGTAAGCTCCCAAAAATGAGTAAAGCGAGATATATATCTTAGTTGAAACCAAAAAAATAAATAAATTAAACCCATATATCATTAAATGCACCCAGCGTTCCCACTGACTTCCCGCATTTCCACCACATGAATTGAAAGTCTAAATTAGGGTTTTCAATCTTCAATAGATTCTTTTACATTTCTTTTTTGTGGAATGGAAGAATTCTTCACAATCTCCAAATGTGGATCTTATGGGAGAAAATGATACAATGTATTTACATTAGGATTAAATTGTATGAGGTGTCTCATGTTACTTCTTGTGGTCGAGATCTGCAACAAGAAAATGAACGGTAAAACCCAACAATGAGATCACACCAACGGCCCTACATGTACATGTCAACATATATTAAAAATATGTTTCTTATTTGTTATTGAGAGGTATTCCCAATAAGACTGGATCTGCTCCTCACACCTGACACCTCACCGGCATTTTAAATGGCATATCCTATCATGCATTGAAAACATTTCTCATATTTATTAGACTGAAGATGTTCTCAATGCACGGTATGTGAAGAGCAGATCCCATCACGTTCCCAATACACAATTGGTATCATGGTATGTGACGTGGGACGCAGGGTGCGGATCGAAGAAGAATTGGATTTATTCTCCAATATGTCCTTTCAATAGGGACTTTTTTTTTTACAATGTTGGCGTTTTCTCCTATTTGCCTCTCGGCAGTGCCTTGCCAACTGGTGAACGGAGTAGGGCTACATCATAACCCAACATCCACTCATGATTTTCAGTTCTTGATACCCGTCCCCATGCATTGCCGGACCCACATATAAATAGCAATCTCCAAAGTTGAAGCAAATCAGACGGTTGAGCACTCTTACACAAATGCTCTTGTCAAGTGTCAACATTGATCCTTTTTTAATTGAGCTTTTTCTCTTACACAATCATAGACTCCCTCAGCCAGCTGTCCTTATCTTAAAGTCGACGCTTTGGGTTTAGAAACACCACGTTATTATCACCCTACGTCTCTCAAGCTCCCAACTGGTCCTTGTAATGCGGAGAGACTTAGATAAATAAATAATGTCAGTGAGTGATGGGCGTATTCTTATTTTATTGCTTATTAGGAAGTACTTTGAAGAAAAGAATTGGACAATCCAAACATGAATTATTAACATCAAGTCTTCAACCCCTTCATTCAGAACATAAAACTGCTGAAATTTTGACTTATATCACAAGCCACAGGGAGGAGATCAAACCTGGAATTTCTTAAATTGACTAAAATAAACCTTCTGTTGTTGAGAAGGAATAGAATAGGTGAGATGATTTCTGGGGTTATTTTAGTCAAAAGACATTAGTAGTACACTCGTACGAGTAGAGCTGGCCCAAGGAAAAAAGAGATGCAATAACAGCTGGTACAGCTCCCAAAAAAGGCCAGAATAAAAAATGTCCTTTTGGTATGTATTTGGTTTTAGGCTCCGTTTGGGAAGACACGTTTGTATTGACATTCTTCCGTAGACATGCAAATATGTAGAATGTAAAACCTTATATTTTGTTTGTATTTACATTTACGTATTTTCATTTATACTCTTTCCAAACTGAACTTTATTGGGACTTATTTACCAAATACAAATAAGTGATTATTAATGTAGATCCAGCCTCCAATCGGTATAAGCACTTAAAAATAAACACTCTCAAATGTGGGCTTATTATCGAAATTCAACTTGGTTTGAGATATTGGGATTGGACTTCACTAGTTCTGTTTTTATTTTGCCTTTCCACCCTAACCTATACAATTACAATATTTTGCAAATCGAAACTAGTCAAGCTATTAAAACTTAGAAGAGGGGTAGTCCGACACTCCGACCCCAATACAAAATACACAGAATTGAAGGCTTGAAATCTGCTAGGCTGAGTTGGGTTTCACAAAATTCGTTAACAACTTTCCCTCAAAGTTCTGTTCCTTTATTTTCTGTCACATCCAACATAGAACAAATTTCCAAATTCCACTCCACACGGAATTGGCCCCAAATAGCAGACTCCGGATACAAGGAATTCATAGCATTCCAGGTAGCAGAAAAGCAGTTGGGTGTAGTAGATAGGGGACTAAGGGGAGGGATCTAACTTAAACTCTGGCTTTGACCAAAGCGCCACTAAGGAACCAAATCACCAACAAAAGGGGGCCAATAGAATGGAGAGGAGTATTTGAGTTATTGACGTGAAGAGCAAGCGGGTGTAACAGTTAATGCAAGCATTCAACTCGTCTTTAACTTGAATCACAAGCGAAGCGAAGCACAGACATCTCCCGATTTCCAAGAATAATAGCTGAGAAGCCAAGCTTTAATTGTTTGTTTGATGGATCCAATTAACCGTTTGGTCATAAACTCGTAATAATTAGCCACCTACCCTCACAAATGCTAATAGAAGAGATTACAGGTGGCAATTTGCAACGGCTTTTGGCCTTTTGGGTCGACACTCGACACGCAGTAAGTGAATTGGTTGAGAAGGAAAACTGGCTTCCTCTAGGCTGATTGATACAGTACGTCCTCCCTCGCACTAGAGTTAATGTGTAAGATTACTAGGTTTGGAATGGATACAGACATCGGTGCCCACTTCATGTTAAAACTTAAATCCAACCCCCCCACCTTCCCCTACACAAACTTCTAAGAAGTAATTGTTTTGCTTATCACAAGGACATTAGAACAGCTGTGAAGTCCTGAAACTAAGGGGGTGTTCTTCGATGTGAATGGTTTTTCTTGTTGCGAATTTCAAAATAAATTAGAATCGTTTATAGCTTGAAAATGAATTGATTCTAA